TATATAGTGCATGCATATATATATATATATATATATATATATACATTATACATACTGTGTATATAACGAAGTGCGTAGCTACTTATAGATAGATAGATACGTATCTGTACATCTATGCAACTACAGTGCCTCTGCAGATCCAAATACAGTGTCATTGGCTACATATAAATCTACAATGCCTCTATATATAATATATAATATATATACAGAAAGCAAATCAAGCTTAAGGAAAAGTAGAAAAAACGTCTAAGAAGAATAACAAATTACATATACTGTGAATTCAGTTCGGAAGGTAGCAAAATGTTGAAGCCTTCGGTGGCGTCTCAACGTATACTCCCCAGAAGAAATAGAATAATTAAATAAAGGGAGAGACAGAGAAGGGGAGACAAATGAAAAGAAATAAAGAGATAAACGAGGTAATTGAGAGAGAACAAACGCGCGGCAAATAATCAAACGGAGAAAAAGAGTCAAACGGCCAGATGGTGATATACAAAAAAAGACAAGCAAAAAGAACAAAACAACAGAACAGACTGAAAGTGACGCAGCGAGAGGAAAGGGAGAATAAATAGAACAGCGACAAGCAAGAACAGAAACATAAGAAGCAGCAGAAACAGCAGTAAGTAGGAGATGCATATTAACAGGTTTTGTTAGCAATACAAACATGAATAAGAAGGCGTCTAAAGGTTATTCGAGGCCCTATGCTAGGAATAATAATCTTTGCAAGAGCCTGAGTGAGGTACTGCCTCACGGCTCCTTCTCCTGCAAGGCTGACGACAACAGATCGTGAAGTAGAACAGCTGTTGCTGCTGTTGACGGCGCTGCTGAAACTGCTGCTGCTGCTTGTCAAGCGCCCCTGTGTGCCGCTGCTGCTGCTGGTAAGAGCTGCTGCGCCGCTAGACTCAGGGTGCTGGCATAGCTTCATAGTTACGATGGGGCTGTCCGCACTGCGTATGAAAACCCGTACATCATACTGTCGCACAGTACGCCAGAATGTCATTACTCTTTCTTCTACTACCCGCACTAAAACCTGCACTCCGCCTCTTTCTTGTCGGCTATTTAAAAATGCAACTGCTGCTTCTAAGGCCCCAGCGGAGGGTACATGCCACATGTCTCGAGTACGAAGGGCCTGCACTTGTACAATCCCAAACTCTCCTCTAAACACAGCAGAAAAACAAAGAAAAACTCTCGTCAATATGGCTGAATATCGTCGTCGCACAAACAGCTACATAACGAAGAAAACAAGCTGCATGTACACCCCAACATGAAACAAGCAAGTGTACAGATATCCTGTATGCAACACAACAATAAATTATGCAGAAGCCAACACAGACATAAAAAATCTACAGACACAGCAGAATGCGCATGCAAACAAATTAAATAGGCCTTTTAAAAAGGCGCTGCTCGTGAAACAAGCTAAAGGAGGAAAAGGTAAGAGGAGATTAAATTAGCTTCGCTTCCATACCTAAATAAAGGAGATGGAGGCAACGGTGGGAGCTTCCCAGCGTCAAAAGAGACAGAAACAGGAACAGAGTCAAAGACTAACGGGTCTCTAAATAAAGAACAACAAAATCAAAAAAAACAAAACAAATGCACTGAAATAATCAGGTGCGCGGCCGGCTGCGCTTCTGCATCGCAGCGTCAGCACCAGCTGCAGCAACAACAGCAGCACCAGCACCAACAGGAGAGGCAACAGCAAGAGCAGCAGCAGCAGCAACACCAACAACAGCAACACCAGTACTGGCAGCAGCACTTTCGACACCCCATCACTACAACCACCGCCACCATCATGAGCATCAACAGCAACAATAGCAGCAGCAGCAATACCAGCAAAACCAGCACCAGCAATACCACCACCACTAACAGCAGCAGCAGCAACAGCAGCATCTGTTGCTGCACTCTGTCCTCTATATGTGTTGGTGTACGTACTGCCGGAAGAAAGCAGAGTAAAAAGGAACTTCAGCTTCCATTTGTCTCCACAAAGCTGCAACCTCTTGAGAGGGAGCGCTAAAAGCAGTGCAAAGCTTCTCAGCCATCTCTAGCTTCCCAGCAACTTCTTGAGGCCCTGGGCTTAATCTGGGTATCTCCCCTAAACAAAAATAGTTTCATATATATGTATATTATGTATATATAGCATCGTTAACTCAAGTAATAAACACAAATAAAAAATATAGAAATAAAATAGAAACAAATATGAACTTCCTTTGAAAATTTTGGGTTCTTATTAGGAATCTTTTTTCAACTGAGTTCGCATGTTTACGAGATCCCTCAACTATAGAGTATAGAAAGTAAAGTGAATTACTAACC